AAAAAAAAAAAAAAATTTGTATTATACTGAAACATCTAAACATAAGCTTTCATAAGTTTAAAATGAATGCTTTATAACCTGACAGAAACCAAACAATTTAAATTTCACTTTTTTCTGAGACATGGTCTTGCTCTGTCACTTAGGCTGGAGTGCAATTGCATGATCATAGCTTGCTGCGGCCTCAGCCTCCCAAGTAGCTAGGTCTACAGGTGCACACCACCACACCTGGCTTTTTTTTTTTTTTTTAAATACTTTTTGTAGAGATGGAGTCTTGCTATGTTGCCCAGGCTGCTCTCAAACACCTGGCCTCAAGCAATCAGGCCACCTCTGCCTCCCGAAGTACTGAGATTTAGAGTTGTGGGCTACTATACTTGGACTATAATTTAAACTTCAAATCAACTAATTCTGAAAACATTTGTAATTCTTATATTTATCATTATATTTAGAGCCAAAATTAATGTCAAATGTTTAAGGAAACAAATTTCTTTCAGTCCTAGCCTATTATTAGGTATTAAACATATTTGTAATTTATTTTGTGAACAGGGCACAACTGTATTTGCTTTTATTTTCTATTTATTCCTCCAGTAGCTAGGCAAATAGAAGCATTGAACCAAAAACTAGAAAACAAAACCCAACATATATCTAGTTCTGGTCAACTTTTTGAGGTCATGGGCCACATGGTCATTTTGGTTTCCCCATTGTGCTGTAAGCATACAGTAGACAATGTTTTAAAACTTACACTGATCTTATCCTACCCCAACACCTCCAGAACCCTAAAGTTAAAAGGAGTTAGCCTCCTATAACAATTTGATACATGAATATTAATTGTTAAATGCTGAACTTACTGTTTAAAATAATTTTCTGGTCTCTTGCAATAGTGAGAAAACAAAGGGAAAAGATTCCGAGTCATATCAAACTGCAACTGAGCTGCTCCTCCTTCATTGAAGTGATTAGCAAGAATTATCTGAAACAAAGAAGAATTCATATAACAGTTGTCTTTATTATCACAGTCCAAAAATAGTCTATTCTTACTTACTTCTTGGTAGATGTATACATCCAGCTTCTCGACAAGCATTTGCCAGAACATTTTAAATAAGGAGAAACAAAGCTGCTGCTCCAGCTGCAGTAAATGGTCTCGTAGCGTCAGCAGTAACGGGCAGGCTGAGCTGGACAGGGACATGACTGCCTGCTCTGACTGAGACGGCAAGGACAGCCACCTGGAAAAAACATTCATTTTTACCACAGAATTTTCATCAGTTCGTATTTTTAAAGTTTTTAAATCATTTTAAATTTGAGGAAGTGTTCTGTGCTGGGGCATTTTGGATAAGAAAAATACACAGCCCAACATTAAAACCTCTCTCAGAAAATAAAGTACCTGTATTTATATTTTCTCTCTCAATTACTCTTTAATATGAGGATATTTCCAAAATATCCCCAAATTTTAATGTGAAACATTGATATAAAGAAATTAAAATTTTAAATGTCAATTTTACCTTTTTTTTTTTTT